AGAGGTATTTACTTTACGAATATGGCTTAACTGACCTCCTAATTAAATAGTAAGACATGTCTCTCTGTGCACGTTACATATACCCGTGCATCTCAAATGAACGCAGGGTATTTTAAGTGCAGCCCGACAAGTGGAAGACTTAATTTACTGTTAAAGGTTTTATATTTTTGTGATATATTTTTGTTGTTGCTGTTCTATTCATTGCTTTCCACAAATTACAATAAATTATTAAACATGCGACACGACGCTGTATCATTATTTATATTCACGAGTAGATTGCAGTTCCTCGCGTTGTGCCGCATTTTCCTTCAAAGTTCATTTTTATTTACTTTTTCCTTTTTTTTTGTATTTGTATTTAATATTGTATTTGCTCTGTCTGGCTGAGCTGGCGGCGCGCATTTGGCTTAAATATTTCGTGTCAAACAGACATTTGACATAAATTTGATGTTTGCATTTAAATACAGACAAACACAGTTATAAATGTGACCAGGCAGGCAACAAGGCATTTATATAAATTGTACACAAAAATATAAAAAGCAAAATAAATACTATAAAATATTAAGAGAACGATAGAGCCACACGATTAAAAAGCCAACTTTCATATGTTTGCCTCACAGTTTGTTCGAAAGGACAAAGACTTTTTATAAAATATAACTTGCGGTATCATATTCAAAAAAACAAAAGTAATTATTAAAATATAAGTAAAGTATAAGTAAAGCTTCATTTATATAATATTCATTAATAAAACAAATATTATATTAAAGATAAATTTAACGAGAAGGAAGGGCTATCTTCGGCACGCCGAAGATTGAATACCCTTGCAGATCCAACCTTTTCATAATGCTCATAGTGCTTTGCCCGTATCTAAGAAGCACAGGGAAAATAGTTTATGACAGTTAATTAACCGAGTATGGTTAAAATGCCTTGAAAAACAAAACAGTTTTCCATACAACAACTTAATTTTCGACCGATCGTTCCTATGGCAGCTATATGATATAGTTGTCCGATCCTAATAGGATTTTGCATATTTATGGGGAGCATAGTAAAACTAATGATTGCCGAGTTTGATCAAGATATCTTGAAAAAGAAAAACATTTTCCATACAAGAACTTACTTTTCGACCGATCGTTCCCATGGCAGCTATATGATATAGTGGTCCGATCCATTTTGACATATAAACTGCGTGCAACAGAAAGAGGGACTTCTGCAAAGTTTCATAAAGATAGCTTTAAAACTGAGAGACTGGCTCTTATAGAAACAGACAGACGGACATGGCTAGATCGACTCGGCTGTTGATACTGATCAAGAATATATATACTTTATGGGGTCGGAGATGTCTCCTTCTATGCGTTACACATTTCACGACAAAATTATAATACCCTCTGCAAGGGCATAAAAAAATAACAAGAAAGTCACTTAATACACTCGAAATCATTTTCTTTCTATGACCCTAAGAACTATTACAGGTGCTTCTTGGTATATGAACAATCATGATATACACAAAGATATATACTATAGATGTGCTGTGAGCTATATAAAAAGCGTACACAATCATAAAAATAAGCTTGGCTCTTGAACTCTTGATCTTTTAATAGGGATACACTCGACGTTTAAAAATATTACACCTGCTTTCACATAAACTCGAAAATTAAGCCAAAAAACTATAATGTTTTACATATTGTTCGAACTGAAACAATTCTATTAAGTTATTATTGTATCTTGCTTTATTTTCTAAATATATAATAATCCCAGGCTAGTTTAACAAATAAAAAACGCAGTTAAAGAAAATGTGAATAAATAATATAGGAATATAATACTCATATTCTACCCTTTCTGTGCTTAGCATTCTGATGATTATTTAACTGTGAGGTTTTTTTTTTGTGCGCCCTGCAACCCTCGGATTAGCTGGACACACGAGAAGCCTTTGCATTTGCATTTGCATTTACTTGTATCTAAAATAATTTATATCGAGTGGCTTCTACAGTGTGTGCTAAAATTAAATTTCTTTAGCTCGTCTGCCCATTTTGGGCAGAGAAAAAAAAAGAATGTTTCGCAGCAACTGCGGCAATGGCTGCATATAAATTATTACCAGTCATAAATATGCCATAATGTCATTTATTATATACGCTATATATATATAAATGTATATATATATATATATATATATAAAATTTTTTTCTTCGCGCCACGTTTTCTTTTGGCTGCGTCTCGCCCGCATGGGGAAAACGCAGAAAACTTTTATTGCCAAGTTTAATGAAAAATTATAAAAGGCGGCGACGCTGGCATCGACAGCGCTGTTGATGGCGACGGCGACGGCGACTGCGACGGCGACGGCGACTGCGACGTCTTCGTCTGCGTGTTTAATATTCAAATTCAAATACTCGCTGCATAGTTCACCTTGCGGCTCTCTGCCATCACGCCCCATCCCCCCTCTCCCAAACTGTCTCGCCCCTGCTGTGGCCTCAGCTGAACCCAACTGCTTTGTCCTATGCCATATTTTCTAGTGGGTATTATTTAAATTATAAATTATTGAATATTTGCCGCGCATTTGGGCCGTCGCATTTTCGGGGCCAATCCCAGACAAAAATTTCCCAGTCCAGCATTATATTATATTTATATAACATATAAGTATTATTATTAGATGTTGCCAACATTGCCGCCAAACGGTTTCATTGTTAGGCGTTATGTTGATTCGGGGTCGAATTTTTGGAGTTAAGTATAATTTGCTCTGATACCCTTTCTATAAGATCTCGCAACATTGTAATGGAAATATCTTGTCGAACGAAGTTAGATCGGTTGTTGATATATATGTAACATATACTAAATCCGAAGACATAGATGTCTTTGGACTAAAAAAAATATGGTAGACGATTTACTGCGTTTTAGTTGGAATTGAACCGGCAACTTGCTGCTTGTTAGTTCGACGCTCAGTCACTTAACAAACAAATCATAATTGAAAGTACAATCGAACTAGCAACTTGCCAAACTTGAAAATTGCATCCAACCGGCGACTTTCCGCTTGCTAGTTCGAAGCTCAGACATTTAACAAATTGGCATTGACATTTGAATTGAACCGGCGACTTGCCGCTTGCTAGTTCGAAGCTCACTCCCTTCAAAAATCAACATTGAGATTTTAATTGAACCAGCGACTTGCTGATTGCTAGTTCAACTCGCAGTCAGCCACACCTCGCAGCCTCACCAATCAGCCAGTCAGTCAACTTTGTAGTTCTCTCTCTTTTCTCACCTTTGACATTTGAATTATTTGTGAAGGGCATTCTAGCTTCGTTGCGCAAAGTCGAACTTATTTTTATTTTATTTTCATATATTTCGTCGTCATTTATTTTTTTTTTTTTTTCATATTTAAATAATAAATTAAGCCAAGCAGGCAGGACTCGGCATTATGAGTACAGCGCGGTGGTAGCTGCTTTTGGGCTCTGTGGTATATACTCGTATCTGTATAATCAGGGGTTGATTTCTGTGTTTTTATGTATTTGCATTATTAATAAATTCCTTGCTATAATTTTTTTCCGTGTGTTTGCTTGTGTGTGTGTGTGTGTGTGTGTGTGTGTGTGTGAAGCCTGGGCAGGCGTTCGCGTTTTCGTTCGCATTTCACATTTCGCGTTTCGCTTTTTATATTTATTTTATAAATTGCATAAATTGATGAAATATGAGGGCAGCCAAGGTCTTGGACGGAGATAGGTGGAGGGTGGTGGTTGCTTTGTGTCTGCTGTTGTTGCATCTGGACAATGTTTTGTTTGGACACTCAAGCTTTTCACTTTTAATTAAAATGCAATGACACTGGCTGCCTTCTTGTTTGGGTGGTGTGTGTGTGTGTGTGTGTGTGTGTGTGTGTGGTTGTATAATCAAAAGTGGAAATTGACATAAATTGATTTTATCGCTGCAGATTTAATGACAACGAAACACTTGCCCCCGCCAATGCAATTTTTGTAATGAAAATGTTTAAACGCATAAAAATCGCCATTGCCAATGGCCAAGAGAGAGACGCGAGCCGCAAGCCGAGCCATGTCCTGCCAGTGAGACCAGAGGCTAGGGCCAAGGATTTTTATGCACTGCTGTCGCATTTTCGCGTTTACATTGTAAACTGGCTGACAAGCAGGCGGGCAGGCGGGGGCTGGGGCGGCAGGGATCTGGGGCGGCAGGGCGCGCCCAAACGGAAACGGACCAGGCCTGAGTCATAGCTACGCGACTTGGACTTGGACTTGGGCCTGGGCCTGGGTCTGGGCTTGTCTGCCAGAAGGTGGCCAAGAGTCCTTAAAATGTCAGTGCTGCTCATGTGCAGCAGGGTCGATGGGGGGCTGGAGGGGAGGGAGGGAGGTAGGGGTGTGTGTGTGTGCAGTTGGCAAAAACGCAAATATTTTATTGCGCTTCAGACTTGAGTAGTTCAGCTGTAAATTTAACTGTTTTACGGCGCTTGAATTGTGTTTACTTTCAATGGATATGGTGGCCGGCCAGTCCGCGACATGAACATGACTGCATTCTATATAATATATAGATATATATATATATATAGTAGCTGCTGACATCTGGCGTACTTTTGTACTTTCGCATTTCCATCGAACAACAAGTAAGTAAGAGTAACCGACTCGGAGTTAGCCTGCATTCCATTTAAATGTTTCTCCATTCATAAAAAACAGACTAGATCGACTCTGCTTTTGTTTTACAGAAACTGCATTAACAGTGAGTACAGGGTATATGTAAAATAACATAACAGAATGTTATGATAGAATATGTGCAGATCTCTGTAACTGCGCGTGTTTCTGTTTTCCTGGAATAAACATTCACATTTGTATTCAACTCTTTATCTACAGAGTTCGGTTTATTTTTTCGAGCCTTTCACTTTAGTGGAGCTGTAGTCGATCTTCAGTTGTTGCAAGCTCTTAAGATGGACAAGACGCTTGGCTTATACCTACTACTACGTGAGTTTAAGGATTCATTAATGTTCAGCTCCAAGCTGATTAGTTGAAACTTGCATAAAATACAAATAAATATTTACAGTTTTTGCGCTGGTTGACGCAGATTGTGACCTTAAAAAGCTTAATCCAGCTGATATCACTCAGACAAACCGTCTCTTTGCATACGAACGCAATGATCAACTACATCTGTTGCGTACGGATGTAATTCCTAACGGCCAAGTGTTGAAAATGGTTTGCACATCGAATGATGTGAAGGACACCACTTGCAATGGAAATGGTTTGTTAGTTCCGCCATTGCCCTTTGACGATTGCACAAGTCAGCCCAAGGCAACTGCGGAAGTAGTTCAAGATAAAAGCTGCCCACATAAAATGTACCGTGTGGGCTATAAACTGGATGATGGACAGTTTTTGGAGCTATACAGAAGTTGTTATGATGTTGAACATTTAACAGCGCATTTTGTCAAACATTCTGTTTATCCAAACACGCTGAGTAGGTTGAAATAGTGAACGCCCCATGCAGTTGCATCTGAGATCTTTACCATTCTTGCAGGCATAGCTCGTCCTCCACAGGGCTTTACCACAGATCGCGTGATTTCCGGCAATCAGGCCGCCTCTTTCGAGGCCAGTAGAATATATTCGCGCTTCGCGTCTCTGCTGGGACAACAACAGGGATTTGTTAAATCTAAAAGGGACATGGTATTTGATCGTGGCCATCTAGCCCCCTCAGCTGATTTTAATTTTGGGGAACATATGTCTGCGACATTTAAGTACATCAATCTGGTGGCTCAGTATCAAGGCGTCAATCGTGGCAACTGGAAAACCATCGAGACCTGGATACGCAAACAGGCTAACATGGGCCCCTATCGAGAGCTGCAGGTGTGCACTGGAGGATTGGGCGTACTGCAGCTGCCAGACAGCAGTCAAGTTCCGACAGCGATTTATCTGGAAGGCACAAATAGTAATCCCGTACCCAAATGGCTATTCAAGATTGTTAAAGACGTTGCCGCCACTCCCCCCGCTCCCATTCACATCGCTATTCTCACCTACAACAATATTGAAAACACCGGGACAGTGTCACCACCTTGCCAGCAGATTCTATGTCCTTTCGCCAACGTACTAAACTCTGACGGGAAGAAAGGTCTCACCTTTTGCTGCGATCCTAAAGAATTTATCAGGAACAATGTACCCCATTTGGAAAATGTCTGCTGAGATACGGACAACACGTCAGATATCAGTATATGACATTCAATTTATAACATTTTCCGTATAAAAATATATAAAAAGCGAACAAATCATATTGCAAAGAGAGTTTTGCATTAAAATTGTTTTAGTTAGAGCACTTTCTTTTTTTTAAGAAAATAAGTTTAAATTCCAAATTAAACTAATTTTTTATTTCAAAATGTACAATAATTTGTTTAAAAATGTTTAGATTTCGATTTGGTAAACCAATTTGATAGTTGTTAAACGACAAATTGAGAAATTTGGCAAGGTTCGAACTCGCAGCAAGCCGCACTACTTGCCGACGTCTCTCTAATTAAGTCTCAGAAATTCTTGGAATTTGCGCTTGCTGCCGCTGATACGAGGAAAGCTAAAACATGTTTTATTCAATAACTTCTGTGTTTCTGAACCGATCTTGTTGAAATTTTCTACATCTTTTTGTACTATAGAACATTCGTGTATTATCAAAATGTCAATTGCATTTCAATGATATTATGAAAATGGGAGCAGATATTCGTTGGGCTGTGCATTGTTCATCAGTCAATCAGTCAATCAGTCAGTCAGTCAGTCAGTCTTTCAGTCAGTCAATCAGTCAATCAGTCAGTCAAGTAATTAAATAGATACTCTTTAAAGCTTAGGTACAATTGAGGCAACGTATGGCAACGTGTGGGCAGGTGTGCATGCGATAATTGCAAATGATTAGAAATTGTAAAGTTAAGCTGTCATTTAATCAGCATTTAACTAGAATCTTATCATCACATATCATTATCATTTACAGTTGGCTCAAATGTTTTGCAGCTTTATTGATTCAATTAATCGCTGGAATTATTTCACATAATTATAAGAAACAATGGCATTTCTTACATTGCATAATCACCCCTAAGTAATGTGTGCCAAAATTAACATTAAATTGAACTTGCACACACTCCAATAAACACACACACACACATACACACAGATACACACACGCACACGCACACAGTTGCGTGTAATAATCGACACGTGCATGGCACATAAATATTGAAGACATTTTAAAGTTTAATACGCCACTTAGGCACGAATTAGCATACAAAGTGAATTAATTACGAGTGTTATACAATTAAGTAAATTTCATTATATTGAATTTTTAAAATTGTTTCGCTGCACCGAACGTAATTGGAAACACAAATATGTATAATTATACGCACACACACGCAAACACACACACACACACATTTGATGTACATTTATAGATACAAATGTGGCACACACACAACACGCACTTTGTCTCTGTCCAGAGCCTCAACAGTAACGTAACAAAACATATATGAAAACAAATACCTTCAAAATCCATAGCTCGTTTTTAGAAATATGAGAAAGGTTGAATAACTTACGGCTGTGCAGATATGTAGAATAGAATGTACAAGGACATAAAGAGATGCAGCTGCAGGGCTTCAAACCTTGGCCAAAATGGCATCTATTATGAAAATGTACTGAGTTTTGGCATAATTGAGATCGTATATAGTTTATTGAAATTAGCTATAATTGTTGACAACCTTAAATTTTAATTTATATTTGGAATAACTTAAGACAGAAATAAGTGAAGAGGCTATCAAACCAATTTTCACAGTTATGATAATTATTATTTTTATACCCTGAACCCATTGAAAATGGGTAAAAAGGGTATAATGTATTTGTGCAAATGTATGTAACAGGCAGAAGGAAGCAGCTCCGAACCCATAAAGTATATATGTATATTCTTGATCAGCAACAATAGCCGAGTCGATCTAGCCATGTCCGTCTGTCTGTCCGTCTGTCCGTCCGTCCGTCTGTCCGTCTGTCCGTATGTATGAACGCAAGGATCTCAGAACCTATAAGAGCTAGAGACTTGAACTTTTAGCTGTAGGTCCTCCTACTCCACACGCAGGCCGAGTTTGTTTCCGATATTCGATAACTTTCCCCGTTTCCAAGTAATCGATAAAAATCGATATCGATATCCTTTTTTTTGGGTTATTTCGGTAAATAATATGAGCTGGAGTCACCAAACTTGACATGTAGCTTCTAGAATAGTATATATATATCAAGTAGCTTTCATTTGATAACTATAGCCTGTTGGAAGAAGAGGGTTCAGGGTATCCCCTAGTCGGGAGCTCCCGACTAGAACTTCTTACTTGTTTTTATTATAATGATTTGGAAAGTAGGTAAAATTTTTGTTGGAATATATACTAATAATCTAGAAATTTATTAATATAACTATATTTGAATATACTTATATCGGCCTAGAGGCAATAAAAGAGATATAAAGATAAGAAAAATAACAATCGGAAATTGTTGAAATAATTTTAGACAGGACAAAATGAACATGTTATAGAAGCTGCTCAATCCAAAATCGTTGCAGTTTAGTCAAAGAAACGAGCATTTAAATTTTAAAGAAGGAAAAAGTACATTTTGTGACAAATCAGAATCAAGGGGCAACATGATAATCGGCTAAGTCTAAGCTAAGTTATGACAAAGCCATGTAACAATTATCAAGGGACTTTATATTCTTAGGGAACTATACGTATTAATTATTAAAGAACTTTTTCGGTAAAATTCAAAAAAAAAAATAAATACATTTTTTTCCATCTAACAAATAATAACTAAGTAATTTCGTGTGGAAATCGGTTTTGTTTTAACCGAGTTTCGAAAGTTTGGGTAGATTAATTTACTATGGGACCTTTTTTTTCTTTTTTGGGGCTTTTCGTGCCACGCATTCTATTGCCATTCGCCGTGGTGAGCCTTGGGCGTGTGTCCTTTCCGCAGTTCGTGGCGTTGACTCTGGCGCACAAGGATCAAATTATAATTTATTTTTATAATATTAAATGAGACGACATCCGGCGCATGGCGCTTTTTTTTCTCCTCCTTTTTTGTATAATTTTGTGCGAGCCACGCCCTCATAAATTGTGTCTTGTATAATAATTAATATGCCGTTAGCTTTGTCCTTTAATTTTACATTCTACTGTAGGTACTCATAATTATATTTATTTTGAATTTAAGCGCATTTTAAATCTAAAGTAGACGACGAAAGCCAGCAACAACAACGACGACGACGACGGCGACGTCGGGCAATTTAAATGACAAAATTATATATATTTAGTGCTTGTGCCCCCTGCCCCCCTTCCTCCCCTCCCCTACCTCATCGAATTGAAGCGACCTCGACTAGAAACCGGTACGCTGTCTCTTTTTCTATGTATTGTAAATGTAATCAAAAATATCGATCGGTTTTATGCAAATTGACTGCGCGTTGCCCAACACCCTCTGCCCTATGCCCCGCTCTATCAGCGCCTCCCCCCTCCCCCCCCCCCCACCCCCCCTCCTCCCCTTCACACGCCCTACAGTACCCTGTGCAGCTCCCTTGCGTCTTGGCTTGTCCCGTTTTTATTATAATTTTTTTTTCTATTTCTATTTATGCTATAATTTAGCAAGAAAATGGCGACGAAATCATAAAATTACATTATAATAAGCAACTACGCTTTGAGTTGGTTACGAATGCTCCACTACCAGATACCCTATATTAAGTTGTAGAGGCACTCGGATGATAGACAGGCGATATATTTTACTTTTTACAAGCGACAGGTGCTTGGGAATTGAAATACTAAGGCTCTTAAACTAATTCCAATTTAAAAGTCTGGAAAATTCAATTTTCAATACATATTAAAATTTAATTTAATTAAATTTTTTTTTATTCTAATACGTTCCAAATTATGAATGTTTAAAATAAGACTATTTAATATAAAAAAAAAAAAAGTATATTAATATAATAATTTAATGATTAGATATTAAAAAAAAAAATGTTTTAAAACGAAGATAAAAATGTTTGTTGTTTTGTCACATTTTTACGAAGTTTAGGGATCGAAAACTCGCAGAAATTATTAATTATTATTATTATTTTTATTTATTTTTTTATTAATGATTTCTTAATCGCCGACTTTTGCTTTACAATTAAATTGCATTTTTATGCCCTATTTACAGGGTATTACAGCTTCTTCATAAGATGTATAACGCATTAAAGGAAATATGCAAACTAGTCTCTCAGTTTTTAAGCTTATCTTATTAACATCGGAGGACTATATCATATAGCTGCCATAGAAACGATCGGAAGGATATTCTTCTATCAGCCGAAAAATGAGTTTTTGTATCGCAAAATATTCTCTGTTCCCCCGATATTTTCAGGCTCAGCCTTTACGGTCTTCGCTTTTCAAACATATCTGCGCAGCCTTAATACAAATGTCTGCAAGGGTATTAAATCTTCGGCGTGCTGACTTTCTCGTTGTTTTTTTTGTCGCTGCTGCCAGAGTTGGCGCTTTTTACAATTTAATATTTTTGCTTTGGTCACCTTTGCATTGGCTTTGTTCCCGTTGTCGTCCCTGTTGTTGCTGCTGTTGTTGTTGTTGTTGTTGTTGTTAACTGGTTGCATTTCTAGTTGATTGGAATTCAATTAATTTTATTTGCTTTACTCTGCAATTTCCTTAGCATTTTTTATTATGCTTGTATTTATTGGCACACACACACACACACACACACACACACACACCCAGACAGGGCGACCGCAAAAACGCGGTCTGCTCGGGCAAAACTCCAGTTAAATGGACTCGCTTTTTGTTGGGATTTCTTTTCTATTTTTGTTTTTTGCTCTTTGCATTTGTCGCCAATTTAGTAAATAATAAAATTGGGAGTCACTTCTTGCAGTTCGCACTTAGCTGCTTCTTCCATTGTTATTGTTGTTGTTGTTGTAGGTGTTGTTGTTGTGGGTCGTCAGCTCTGCGGACACTTTGCGGCTGGGCCGCGGTCAACATTTGTTTGCACTGACTTATTGCGGGCTTGAATTAGTTGTGGTCCGCCCCGCAGCCGCGCAGCAGCAGCTGCTGCTCCACGCGGCGTATACGTAATCTGCATTACTCACTGCCATCGACGGAACCAGCACATTTAATTGTATTTCATTTATAACAATTTGTGTAAAGCAAAAAAGAAAT